GTGATGGGAGGGTGGCACACCTGAAGAGGGCATGGAAGCTCCATGCTTTCTGAGTATGTGGAAGGGGCACAGGACTTCCAAGGCCTCTCCAGGTGTACCGCCCTCCCATCACCTCCATGTGTCCAGCAGTCCAGAAGCTCCATGAACCTTGTCCTTTGGAGTTTTCATGGAGGCTTCATTATATAGGCATGATCATTGACCCATCATTGGCCTTTGGTGATCAACTCAACCTTCAACCTGTCTCCCCTTTTTGGAGGTCCAGGGGTGGGACTGAAAGTTCCAACCTTCATGATTCATTCCCTGGCAACAAGCCCCCATCCTGGGGCTGTCCAGAAGCCCACTGAGAGGCACCTCATTAGAACCTACCACTAGGAAATGCTCCTACCACTCAGGAAATTCCAAAGGATTTAAGACCTCTGGGTCACATGCTAAGATTCTCCTAGTCCCCAGTCTGCAATAGCATTAGGAGCTCAGCTCCGAACTGGAGGCAGAGACCAAATATATACTTTTTGTTATATCACAATATCACAGTAGGTTATGCAGGATTCGAATGAACCGTTCTCCTTTCCCTCCTCTGATTCCTCCAGCTGACCAGGGCCATCTGGAACACCAAAATATACTTGGCAAATTCACCAAGAAGCAGCTCAAGCTATGTCTTTATGAAGGCTTTCTCCCAACTTAAAATGTCCTCTTAAATAGGAAATCATCACTTTTGTTATTTTTAAAAAATCCTGGGTATGTTAAACCATGTAAAATGAATGCCTAAGTCCTGAAGGGCTAAGTTTCACTGAAGGATTTGTTTCTCTCCTCTCCCACGGTCCCTGTTCCCTGGATCTTAGAAATGTCACCCTCAAGTGACTAAGATTTTACTTTTGATCTATTTCTCATCTGCCCTTTGCCTGCATACTGATCTTCAGAACTGGAAATGAGCAACATCTCTCAGGCTAGGGTCATCCTGTTCCTAAATAGACTATAAGGGTGTAGCTCTCGGTAATCTTTACTGAGCTTTTTGTGTTTTAGTCCCTCCACCAGCCAGAATTTTGATTCAAATTCCTTCATCCAAACATGAAGAAGGACCCTGGCTTATTTCAAAGACTCTCGGTGGACATAATAATAATAAGTAAGCACTAAATAATAAATACAATTTTATCATATAAGTAGAGGAAAATGGTACATTGAAGGTAGTTGTGTTGGCACTAGGTAGCTGGTACTCTCTCCCAGACTTTTGTTCATCCTTTCCACCACTTCTGAATATATTTTTTAAGCACCTGTATACATGTGTGACGCAGAACCAAGCTTTGCTTAATTTATTCATATTGTTCTAGATAAATGAATTGCAACCTTCCAGACTCAAAGTCCTTGGAGTCAATTACTCGCTTGCTCTTAACATTTCCAGAATGACTCAATAATTACATACAATTTTATCTGTCAATTAAAAAAAAGTCCAGAGTTTCACTTACCAATTCAAATTGACCTAAAACCAACCATGAATTGTCCTTAACAGTCTAATTTGATGGATAGTAAATATTCCTGCACTGAAAGGCATTCATACATTTTTTTTTTTTTTTTTTTTTTTTGAGACAGAGTTTCGCTCTTGTTGCCCAGGCTGGAGTGCAATAGCACAGTCTTGGCTCACCTCAACCTCCGCCTCCTGGGTTCAGGCAATTCTCCTGCCTCAGCCTCCTGAGTAGCTGGGACTACAGGCATGAGCCACCATGCCCAGCTAATTTTTGTATTTTTAGTAGAGACAGGTTTTCACCACATTGACCAGGATGGTCTCAATCTCTTGACCTCGTGATCCACCCGCCTCAGCCTCCCAAAGTGCTGGGATTATAGGCGTGAGCCACCGTGCCCGGCCGAAAGGCATTCACACATTTAAGAAACATTCAGTGAGTGCCCATCCTGTGCCAGGCAATCTGTTGCATAAAGGCTGGGCTGCTCATTCCTTCACCATGTGCTCCTCTGTGTGAGCTGGAAATGCCTGTCCTCAGTGTGATTTATCCAAGGTTGGCAAGTACCACATCTGTCACTCAGAGCATTTTGGAATTTTAATAAGAATTTTTGAGACTCTGTCTCAAAAACAAACAAATAAATAAAACTCATGTTTATTGTTTCTGTGCTATTCAGAACGCTTGGAATAAAACTGACCTTTTCATCTTGATAACATGCTGTCCTATAAACTATGATGTCCACTTGAATGAATACTGTATTTTCTAACACCAATTTCCCCTTTGTTTTCTGTGGGTTTTCTTGGGAAATAGCCCTTAGATTTTCCCTTACTCTCCCTTCCCATTGAACACTGCTAAGCCAGGTCCCCATCATCCATGACCAAAATACTAAATTTCTTACTAGCATTTACTGCTGTCACATTCTTTTAAAATAGTCTTGATGTCTCTGTCCAATTTTTTTACTGCAACATCCTATTTTGTTTATTCTATAGCTGGCATAAACTTAAGCTTCTCCTTATTCACTGCTTTAAGTCATAAGCATCTACCTAAATTTCTAGGCCTGCATACTTGATCCTACTATTACTGAATGCCTTCCATTAACTCTGAGCTCCAGTTTCTCATAGAAAATGAATAGAGGAAACTATGTGCTCAGGGATTTCACCAATATCCTCAATCATATTTCTTCTTCTTCTTTTTTTTTGAGACAAGGTCTTGCTCTGTCACCCAGGCTGAAATGCAGTGATCATGGATCACTGCAGCTTTAGATTCCTAGGCTCAAGCAATCCTCCCACCTCAGCCTCCTGAGTATTTGAGACTACGGGCAAGTGCCATCATGCCCAGCTGCTTTTAAATTTTTTGTAGAGACAAGATGTCACTATGTTGCCTCGGCTGGTCTGAAACTCCTAGCCTCAAGCAATCCTCCCACCTTGGCCTCCCAAAGTGCTGGTATTACAAGCATGAGCCACTGAGCCTCGCCTCTCCCTTAAAGAGTACTAAATACCACCCAAGGATCCCACATTTTACTAATTAGCCTGCTGCCTGCTTTCCAAGACAACTTGAAAGGCCAGGCCTTGGTATCTGAAGTTTTAGAGCCTAGATTCAAGTCATCTCTCTGCCCGCTTAGCTGGGTAACCTTAGACAAGTTGTTTAACTTCTCTCTGCCTCACTTCTAAAGAACGAGCTCAAAATGTTGTTTAATTTACAGGTTGTGAGGATTAAATGAGTTGACACCAACACAGGACTTAGAGCGTTACCTGATGCCTAAGAAGCGCTCAGTCATTGTTACCAATCATGACTATTTTCTCCCCTTTCTGTAAGCCAGCTGCAGCTCACTCCATTCTTCATAACTTTGCCTCATATTTTATTGAGAGAATAAGACAACCACAAAGAATGCCAGGAAGCTCCCTTCTTCCTCCCACGACATCTACCTGTGTGCCTGCATCTGTACTAATATTCTTTCTTTCCTCTGCCCATTAAAAATGTCCTTGCAGGCCAGGTGCGGTGGCTCACACCTGTAATCCCAGCAGTTTGGGAGGTTGAGGCGGACAGATCTCTTGACATCAGGCCTTCGAGACCAGCCTGGCCAACATGGGGAAACCCTGTCTCTACTAAAAGAACAAAAATTAGCCGGGCATTGCGGCACGTGTCTATAGTCCCAGCTACTTGGGAGGCTGAGGCAGGAGAATCGCTTGAACCTGGGAAGGGGAGGTTGCAGTGAGCTGAGATCGCGCCATTGCACTCCAGGCTACGTGACAGAGCGAGACTCCATCTCAGAAAAAAACAAAAAAAAAAAAACGTCCTTGCTGACTCAACCTGTGCTCAGGATCCCACCCTGTTTACCTTGAAGGATTTCTTCAGCTTCACCTTCTTTCCAGCATTGTTCATATCCCCCTCTGACAGCATGCAGACATCTTTTAAAACAAGAGCCAAAAACCAAAGCCGTCCTCAACCCTGCTCTCCTCGGCAGCCTTTGAAAGATGCGATGGGAGAGTAGAAGAGGGTCCCCACATTTCCCTCAAGGGGCTGCTAAGAGGAATAATTAGGTAATAAATGACGTCAAGTCCCAAGCATAGCATCTAGCTTATAGCAACCACATAAATATTAGCCATTCTTCTTGTCACTGTTGCTATTATTATCGTAAGTGTTCATTTCAGTGCTTGCTGCCTCAAAGAGGAGTCTCTTACGAAGATATTTTAGGCACCAATTAGGGTTCCAAATTTAAGAGACAATTCACAGCACTCACTGGAATTAAGGAAAGGATGGTGAATATTGCCTGTTCCCACTTGATCAGCCAGACACTATCTTCCTCTGCCTGCCAGCTGGCGAATTTTAATTTTCTTGCTCTTTTAGTTTTTTTTTTCATTAATACGTCTAATATCAAAGTAAGGCAGGAGACTGGCAGGACTTGCTTTCTGGTCACAACCTGGCTGACCAAAAAAAGATCTGGCCAACAGGACAAGGTGAAGAAACCACTGAAACCAGCAGATGGAGACAAAAGCCATTCCTAGCTGTCCTCGTTACTCATTAGCATAAGACATTCCCACCAGTGACAGTTTACAAATTTAAGAGACAATTCAGCCACACATAGTGACTCACACCTGTAATCCCAGTACTTTGAAAGGCTGAGGCGTGTGGATCACAAGGTCAGGAGTTCAAGACCAGCCTGGCCAAGGTGTCTCTACTAAAAATACAAAAATTAGCTGGGCATGGTGGAAGCCTGTAGTCCCAGCTACTCAGGAGATTGAGGCAGAGAATTGCTTGAACCCGGGAGACGGAGGTTGCAGTGAGCCAAGAATGTGCCACTGCATTCCAGCCTGGGTGACAAATTGAGACTCTGTCTCAAAAAAAAAAAAAATTCACGGAACTCACTTGAAGTTTATAAATGCTATGGCAATGACCCAGAAGTTACTACCTTTTTCCTAGAGTTCTAAATAACCCACCCCTCAATTTGCATTAACCTACCCCTAAATTTGCATGTAATCGAAAGTAGGTCTAAATGGGTATAAATAGAATTGCCAAAAGTCCATAGGTTACTGATTCCGGGTGCACTGCCTGTGAGTTAGCCTTGCTCCTTGTGATGGCTATTATTAAGTGTCAGCTTGATTGGACTGAAGGATACAAAGTATTGTTTCTGGGTGTATCTAGGTGTTTCTAGTGTGGCAGAAGAGGTTAACATTTGAGTCAGTGGACTGGGAGAGGAAGGCCCACCCTCAAGAAGACTCACCCTCATTGTGGGTCTTGGCATCATCCAATCAGCTGCCAGTATGGCTAGAAAAAAGCAGGGAGAAGAAGATGGAAGAAGCTGACTTGCTGAGTCTTTCGGCCTCCATCTTTCTCCCATGCTGGATGCTTCCTGCCCTCGATCATCAGACTCCAAGTTCTTTGGCTTTGGAACTCTTGGACTTACACCTGTGGTTTCCCAGGGGCACTTAGGCCTTCAGTCACAGACTGAAGGCTCCACTGTCGGCTTCCCTACTTTTGAGGTTTTGGGACTCGGACTGAGCCACTACTGGCTTCCTTGCTCCACAGCTTGCAGACAGCCTATAATGGGACTTCACCGTGAGATCGTGTGAGTCAATTCTCCTTAATAAACTCACTTTCATGTATACATCTACGCTATTAGTTCTGTCCCTCTATCCTGACTAATACACTCATTGAGGAGTAGCACCGTTCAGTAAAGGATTGCTGTGTAACACCACCAGCTGGCCCTTGAATTCTTTCCTAGGCAAAGCCCTAAGCCTCAATCTGGGGGCTCCTCTGTCCTGCACAAAAGGGTCACACGTTCTAAACATTTCAAAAAACACATTATTCTTTAATTGTTTTAGAATGTGTGGTGTGGTCTTTCTCTACCATCACCTCCTTTGGCCAAGCGGGCTCCTGTGGAGTTTCTAGTGACACTGTGTTTTCCCTGCTGCAACACTCTCTCTTCTCTCTGGACTCATATGAGCTGAGTTCTTTGGAGATTTGGCAAAGACAGGCAGTTGTCAGAAAATATTTTCTCATTTTATATCTCTTATATTCCTGTTTCGTAATGTAAAAGTGAATGTTTTAAAAAAGATACATAGCCTTCTAACTCCTACCCCTTACCCAAAATAGCCCAGTCTCACATAAGTTTAGTGTCAGCAGATGATCAGGCTCCTGCTATCTCCTGCTCCAGGACAAAGGGTCCTCTTGCTCACTCTTGGCTGCTGCCAGATAATGTCAATCTCTGCTTTCAGCTCCCACGTGCTTCTGTGGGGCCCACTAACATTTCAAACACCTGTCTCATTCAAGATTTCCTTGAGATCAGGTGCAGTGGCTCACACCTATAGTCTCCGCATTTAGGGGGGTCGAGGTGGGTGGATCATGAAGTCAAAAGATTGAAACCATCCTGGCCAACATGGTGAAACCCTGTCTCTACTAAAACTACAAAAATTATCCAGGTGTGGTGGCGCACACCTGTGGTCCCAACTACTCGGGAGGCTGAGGCAGGAGAATTGCTTGAACCCAGGAGGCGGAGGTTGCAGTCAGCCAAGATCATGCCACTGCACTCCAGCCTGGTGACAGGGTGAGAATCTGTCTCAAAAAAAAAAAAAAAGATTTCCTTGAGGCACACACAGGTTGCACAGTGATGCCAACTGTATCCTTTATGTTGTAATACTGGTGTTTCTCAAAGGCAGCAAATAGCAAGAATAAAACCTGGTCCTTATCAGCCTGCACCCTCTTTCCCTCTTCTTTCTTTTTCTTCTCATATGCAGTATTATACTGATGATTAGCAACAGGTTTATAACCGGCTGTGACAACCTTGTCCAGTGTCTGCAGGGTTTTGGCAGATTTGGCAGATTCCTGTGTTTGCATTCTCTTCCGTCTCATGGAGTTTTAATTTGTAGCTGGTTGGCATTCCCCTCGCTGTACTGTTCCTTCCAGTGAGAGCTTACTCGGCGCACGCTCAGTCAACACTGAGGATCTGCCCTCTGAGCCCCTGCATAAGAAATGGAGCCTCCCTAGGCGTGCTGACTGGGTGGGTTGTCCATCAATATCGTGAATGTTTTTAAGATCCTCATTCAAAGTAAATGACAGCGCAGACTTTCTTTGATTCTTGGCAGTCTGCAGCTTCCCTACTTCACTGCTTCCAGAAGCTTCAGACCACTCTTATGACAGGTATTTGGGAACCTCCACTAGCCACAACAGCTGTTCTGTTGGATTGCTTCCAAGTTGAGTTGCATGCTCTGGGTCTTGGGTTTGCAGCCTCCAGGTGCCATGCACACCTGAGCTGAAGGTGCAAAGGGTAGGTGAGTATGGTACCTCTTTAAAATGAAGTACTGCAACAATTCAAAATATAGTGGCTGGGCGCAGTGGCTACGCCTGTAATCCCAGCATTTTGGGAGGCTGAGGCAGGCAGTTCATGAGGTCAGGAGATTGAGACCATCCTGGCTAACATGGTGAAATCCCATCTCTACTAAAAATACAAAAAATTAGCTGGGCGTGGTAGCATGTACCTGTAGTCCTGGCTACTTGGGAGGCTGAGGCAAGAGAATTGCTTGAACCCGGGAGGTGGAGGTTGCAGTAAGCCGAGATTGCGCCACTGCACTCCATCCTGGGCAACAGAACGGGGATGCATTTAAAAAAAAAGTAGTAGCTCATATCTAATAACATGAAAAATTTTCTAAGACATAGACCTCTCTTGTGGGCTTTGACTCAAATGTGCCTTTTGCAGAGAGGCTGCCCCGGACTACCCTGTTTCTCCTGATCCTTCCCCAGCTTTTTCTTATTTTGAGTATTAGTCAACACGAAATATATTAGATACTCCACTGGGTGGCTCACACCTGTAATCCCAGGCTTTGGGAGGCCAAGGAGGGAGGATCACTGGAGCCCAGGAGTTCAAGGCTACAGGGAGCCACGATTGTGCCACTGCACTCTAGTCTGGGTGACAGAACTAGACCTGTCTAAAAAAAATAATAATAAATTAATTTTAAGTCTCTATATGTACATACACACTAGATACTATTCATATTTATTTATTCATGTATTATTCTGTCTTCCCCACCAGTAAGCAGCACGAGGGTAGTTTGTGGTAGTTATTTGCAAGGTGTTTAATAATTTTGTTTTTTGAATGTGCAAAAGGTCTTATTTTATCCTGCTGGTACCTCGTCTGGCCTGGCACCCTACTCCTTTGGTGCTCCATGCCTAATGACACGGGGAGAATGGCCTCCACACAACGTGAGAGGCACAGAGGGCCTAAGGGCAGGGGCTCATCCCCCCACCCAGTCTGGGCCACCACCCAGGTGGTGTAAGTAAGGGGATGTGGACAGTCGCCGAGCCCTGGGTACCTTGGCTTGACCCCAGCAGTGGTCAGGGACCCAGGAGGAGCTGAGAAATTGTAATTCTTTCTTTTTCATTCTTTAAAAAAAAATTTTTTTTTAAGCAGGAACCCTATTGTGAATTGCACATGAGAGAGCTCTAATGCCTCATGATCTGAGGTGGAACAGTTTCATCCCAAAACCATCCCTCCTGCCATCTGCGGAAATATTGTCTTCCATGAAACTGATCCCTGGTGCCCAAAAGGTTGAGGACCACTGTCTTAATGCATTCCCATAAGGGTGGGTAGCTCAATGGACTATTTCATCCACTGAACTAACTTTCTTTAATTCTCCAGTTTAGAGTGGGTTAGGGTGAAAACCAGCTTGCTTCAGCTCCCCTAGAAAAACTTCAAAATGCAGGTTAGGCCCTCTGAGGAGTGACTGGACACGTTAATCCTAGTACCTGACCAGGTACTTCCACGATGCACTGAAATTGCTCTCACCATCCTGTAACTAAATGCAAAGAAAAAGACCTTTTTTTTTTTACTTCTCTGATTGCTCCCTTTATCAACTTTTTCTTTCTTTCTCTCTCTCTTTTATTTTTGAGATGGAGTTTTGCTCTGTCACCAGGCTAAAGTGCAGTTGCACAATCTTGGCTCACTGCAACCTCTGCCTCCTGGGTTTAATCGATTTCCCTGCCTCAGCCTCCCGAGTAGCTGGGATTACAGGCATGCACCACTACGCCTGGCTAGTTTTTTGTATTTTAGTAGAGATGGGGTTTCACTATGTTGGCCAGAATGGTCTTGAACTCCTGACTTCATGATCCACCCGCCTTGGCCTCCCAAAGTGCTAGGATTACAGGCGTGAGCCACTGCACCTGGCCTCTTCCTTTCTTTTTATACAGACAGGGACTTGCTCTTGTCACCCAGGCTGGAGTGCAGTGCCATGATCATAGCTCAGTGCAGCCTCAAACTCCTGGGCTCAAACAATCCTCCCATCTCAGCTTCCCTAGTGGCTAGGATTACAGGAGACTTCACCAGGCCTCAATAATCTAAAAAGTGTTTTTATTTTTAGGCAGCAGGATCTCACCATGTTGCCCAGGCTGGTCTTGAACTCCTGGCTTCAAGGGATCCTCCAGCCTCAGCATCCCAGTAGCTGGGATGACTGGTATGAGCCACCACACCCACTTTGCTCCCTTCATCATTTTTTTCCCCCAATTTTTATCTTATTGTGGCAAACAAAACATAAAGCCGGAGAGGCACGGTGGCTCATGCTTGTGATTCCAGAATTTTGGGAAGCCAAATCAGGAATGCTTGAGCCCAGGAGTTCGAGGTCAGCCTGGGCAGCATGGTGTAACTCTTGTCTCTACAAAAAATACAAAAATTGGGTGGGCGCAGTGGCTCGTGCCTGTAATCCCAGCTACTCAAGAGGGTGAGGTGGAGAATTGCTTCTGTAGGTTGTCTATTCCCTCTGATGATAGTTTCTTTTGCTGTGCAGAAGCTCTTCAGTTTAGTTAGATCCCATTTGTCAATTTTTGCTTTTGTTGCAATTGCTTTTGGTGTTTTCATCATTAAATCTTTGCTCATGCCTATGTCCTGAATGATACTGGCTAGATTTTCTTCTGAAATTGCTCTCACCATCCTGTAGCTAAATGCAAAAAAAAAGAAAAGACCTTTTTTTACTTCTCTGATTGCTCCCTTTATCGTTTTTTTTCTTTCTTTCTCTCTCTCTAGGGCTTTTATAGTTTTGGGTTTTACACTGAAGTCTTTAATCCATCTTAATTTTTGAATATGGTGTAAAAAAGGGGTCCAGGTTCAATTTTCTGCATATGGCTAGCCAGCACTCCCAGCATCATTTATTAAATAGAGGATACTGTGACTAATTTATAAATTAAACTTTATCAAAGGCATATATAGGAAAAGGCACAGTCTACATAAGGTTTGGTACTATCTGAGGTTTCAGACATCCAGTAGGGGTCTTGGAACCTATCCCCCTGAGGATAAGGGGGATTTACAGTAATCCTTAAGCAATATACCCTTAAACAATAACTCCTCATTCCCCTTTCATCCAGCCCCTGGCAACCACCATTCTACTCTCTGTCCCTATGATTCTGACTACTCTAAATACCTCATAGAAGTGGAATAATACAGTATTTGTCTTTTTTTTTTTTTTTTTTTTTGAGGCAGACTTTCATTCTTGTCACCCAGTCTGGAGTGCAGTGGTGTGATCTCAGCTCACTGCAACCTCCACCTCCTGGTTCAAACAATTCTCCTGCCTCAGTCTCCCAAGT